CAAATTTGCAGGCATTATACCCGCTACCCCAGTGTCCACAACCATCTCACCAACACACTCAGCAGAGTCCTTCTCCTTCTGTACAGACAGTGGCTCCCCTGCCTTTGCCAACACGTCCTTGGGGATGCGTTGCAACATGACAAAGGCAGCATGCTCTTTCACCACCGGCTTAGCTGGCTTGTGGGGGATGACATCACTTTCAGCTTCTTCCTCCGAGTCCTGAAGTCGGCTCCACGCAGCTCCGCAACCGCCTCTGCCAGGAACCGCAATCCGCCCGCCATCTCCGCCTCCTCCACCTGGGTCCCCCAATCCACAGGCAGCTGCCCAGGGGGGAGGGACTCTGATGATCCTGCGACCACGCTGTCTTCCATTTTAGGCGCCATTTTCTCTGAGGGTGCTGCGGGCTCAGCCTGCCCCTGCTCCTGCTCGCCTTCCACCGGCAACTCCCCCGACAATTCCTCCACCGAGGAGGCCTCCTCCACCGGACCCCGCATCGCCGCAACACTGCGGCTTCTTGCAGCCTTAAATCTCGCTTCGTTCAAATATTTTTCACTGAGGACGCCGCTCTTGCACTGCAGCATCGCCACATACCTCCTCTGCTGGGACACATGTAATTCCAGCGCCTGCAGGCTTGGTTTCATGGCCTGCCGCTTTGTAGACCATACCTGGTCGTAGGATGACCGGAGCTTCTTTAGCTCCAGAGTCAGCTTCTGGAGCTTGGCTTCCTCCTTCTCTACTAACCTGGCCTGAGCGGCCACACAGTCCCAGTAGGCAGAGTAAACTTCCCCCTTCCTAGGGGCCGTTCCTCTACTGGTGGAAAGGAGAAGCCGGTACTAGGCCCCTCCAGGGCCTTCTCCTCGCTGGACCCAGGCCAAGGATCCGCCATCCTGCCTTAGCTGGGCAGGACACTTTAGCCCCAGGCTTCTCGGGCCTACCTGGGGCTTAGCAGAGCACAGTCCAACACAGCCTCTCCACATGGTGTCAGAAATGGACTCAGCACTGGTGGTGGGACTCACCAGCCGTGTGGGCTTCAGTACCAGGGCTGGCCAGCGGGTGCTCTCAGCAACCAGAAGCTCACTCCTGCAGTCAGCCATCACCTGAGGCTGATTGCAGGAGGTGTATTTAAGGAATGGCCAGACCTGCAGTCAGTGCCTTCGTGTATGTTTCCCATGAGCCCCTGTACCTGCATCCTGTCTGCTTCCTGCCTGATCCTGACTCTGCTTTGATCCTGACTCTGAACGAACTCTGCCTGTTCTGACATTGGCTATTCCTGAGCACTCTTCCGCTCGCTCCTGGTACCCTGTTTGCCCGTTTGCTACTGACCCGACCTGCCTGACTACGTTTGATTGTATATATGGTTATCTGTTGGAGGTTGGGTTGTTTGCACTGTGTTATGTTTACCTTGCACTGCGTTTGTTGTTTAGTCTTTAATAAATTGTCTTGTTTACACTATACCTGAAGCCTGTGTTTCCCTGTGTCAGTCCACACACCTCTGGTCATTCCCGGAGCCCTGACAGCCAATTTGCATTCTAAAGAGGTTTTGTTGCTAAGTCTGGACATTAATAAAGCCTTTGATAGTGTCCTTTGGCCTTACTTGTTTACATTGCTGCAGAGAATGGGCTTCAATGATGAGTTTTTGTCTGGTATACACGCCCTATATGACTCTCCTAAAACAAGAATAAGGCTTCCCGAATGTAACTCTGACTTTTTTACATTGGGAAGAGGTACCCGTCAAGGTTGTCCTCTCTTACCCCTATTGTTTGCGCTGGTGCTGGAACCTTTGGCAATTAATCTCTGGTTATCCATTATTAGTCTCACATTTCAAAATATGCATGTATGCGGATGATGTAATGCTTTTCCTCACTAACCCGTTAACTTCATTGCCTAATTTATGCGCAGTATTGAATGACTTTGCTAAAGTGTCAGGTCTTACTGTTAATTTTACCAAATCAGTGATTATGCCTGTTAATATTCCTGATTTCCTAAGTGCATCTCTCCGTAGCTCTTTTCCATTTTGTTGGGCCACGGATCGGATTTCCTATTTAGGTATCAATCTTACTCCCAGATACTCGGATACATTTGCTGCTAATTACCCACCATGTGTGTTGCGCCTTTCTACTCTGCTGAAGATTTGGCATGGTTACCCCATTTCCTTTCTGGGTAGAGTCACGGTAGTCAAAATGAATATTCTGCCCAAACTACTTTATCTATTTAGAGCACTTCCAGTCCCGGTTTCAAAAATATTTCTGGATCACTTTCAGTGGGTTATTAATAATTTTATCTGGTGTAATAAACGTCCGCGCTTTACCACATCTGTTCTGTACCGCTCACTTTATTTACCGGGTATTTTGTGGTCCAAAATTCCCCCTCGATCGTTCAATTTTCACAACTTTATAGTTACCCATTCATTGACACTTTGGTTCAAATATACACTTAAATTAAATCTGGTCTCTTTGGTTCCTCCAGGTGTTTCGTTTTTTGGTGATTCAAACTTTATTACGGCATTTCTTTCCCCTCAAACGTTTCATTGGTGGTATGATAGATCTTTTATTAGATTATCTGATTTTTGAAGTGGAGGATCTTATATTACTTTTGATATGCTGCAAGTACTTTTTGAGGTTCCGCTTCGGAGTACCATCGTTATCGACAGATTAGACATTTTTTTTCAGTCACATTTTGGCCTCATACCCTCCTCTCCGATCTCATTCTTTGAACGTATTAGCCGTGACTCTCCTAGGGGTTAGGGGGCTTATCTCAGATCTTTATCATCAATTTTTGATCAGTTTCTCTCCAACACCCCCTATATATAGACAAAGATGGGAGGAGGATAGTGGTATCACTTTCACAGATGAGGAATGGGATTCTATGGTGGATAACATATGTAAGAGTTTGAGATCCCTTTCTGTCTGTACCTTTCTGGTCAAGGTATTAACCAGATGGTATTATACCCTATCAAGACTACATGTACTGTACCCACAAACGTCCCCTTTCTGTTTCTGGGGCTGTGGCCTCACAGGTACATTGGTTCATATGTTTTGGGCTTGCCCATCTATATCCTTGGTTTGGCGCAGGATATCAGAGGTAGCTGCTTCCTTGGTAGGCGCCCAGGTACGTCTGATTATACAGTCCTGTTTATTGGGAGCTCATATCCCGGGGGTCACTGATGCTGTTATGGGATTGATACATACCATTTGTATTGCCACTTTATGGGCTATTGCTCTACATTGGAAATCCACCACGGTACCCTTGACCTCTGTTTTATATAGAGTTGACGCTGTGATGCTCATGGAGCGTATTTATTATACTTTGCTGGACAAGATGCACTTGTTTGATAAAAAATGGGAATCATGGAAGGTTCATAGACATTCATTACATGATTAAAAAGCATTCCGTTTGAAGGTTATTTGGCATATGCTATTGACAGATGTCTTTCAACTCACTTTATCATATACATTATTCATGTACTTAAATTCTTTTCTCTTTCTTTTTCCTCCCTATATTTTTTACACATATGTACTCTTCTGAAATGTACTTTTCAAATGTGCCTTGTTATCAATGTATGCATTACTTGTAACTGTACTGTTATACAGTCTACCCTTGAAAAATAAAACTGTAAACAAAACAAAAATGAATTTCTTCATAAATTTAGGCCAAAATGTATTCTGCTACATGTCTTTATTAAAAAAAACCCAAGTAAATTAATTGGTTTACATGAAAGTTATACCATCTACAAATGGTAGTATAGATGCTGGAATTTTTTTTTTTTTTAATACTAGTAATGGTGGTGATCAGTGACTTATAGCGGGACTGCGGTGGCCATTCTGACACTGGTGGGGAACCGACTAACTGCTACTGACATCCCAATGACACTAATACAGTGATCAGTGCTAATAAAAAGCAGTGACACTGTTCTAATGGCACTGGGCAGGAAGGGGTTAACACATCTGGGGGGATCAAAGGGTTAACTGTGTGCTGTTTTACAACGTGCTGCTGTGTGTGTTTTACTAGGGAGACAAGCTGCTGTGTATCTCTCTGCTGTGCAGAGAAATACACAGCAGCATGTCCTTGCTGGCAGGAGAGAGACCTGTGTTGTTTACACACAGGTCTCTCCCGTTAGCTTTGCACGGCGATCGCGGGGTGTCGGCAGGGAATCTCCAGCTAGGACCCGGTGATTGACATGCCTAGCTGCCAATGGTGGCGTGGGTAGGGCGGTGTGCATTCCCACCTACCTGGAAATGCAAATCACGTATATATACACGTGAATTCCGGCAACCCTGCCGCCCTGTAGCAATAATTCTACTATAGGGTGGTGGGCAAGTGGTTTAACTAAAACGGGTATGTCATGAAGATATCATGAAAGGATTTGAACATAGCCATTGGTGATTACATGTGGGAGTTCCAGCAGGGGTTCCCAATGGTTAGGGCGGAAGTCCCATTGAATGCAATGGAAGGCCAACAGTTCCTGCAGCTCCCCATGGCTGCCCACATGTAATGGCTCTGGGAGTGATGTCCTGCGGAAGATTAACCTTGGAAGTAGACAGGTTAGCTGTGAACCTTGTCAGCCTCCTATTTCTATCTTTGGGGTTGCTGTGGGGAATCTCCCTCATGTAAGTGCTAATAGCTCCATTAGAAGGTGTGAAGAGGATTCACTGCTGTGATGAAGAAGAAAAGCAATCACGTTCACAAGTATTCTCTCTGCAGAAAATATGTTGATTTAAGTATAGCGCTTCCTTGTTATTGTTTCTGTGATACTTTGTAACAACACTGACAACACAGTCCTAACTTCTGAGCCACAGGACATACACCACGTGACGCCACATTGATATCATGTGATAGTTGAGCTACGTTGGTCTACGTAAGCAAGCGCCGAGGTTATGCGCGTGCGTGGTGATCAGCCTTTGGTCGGCGGACGGCGGGGTTTTTGGTCGGCATTGGGTGTACGTATGACGTCAGAGGCCGAGCTCTAGAAGTCAACGAAGTGTCAGTTCTCGGCTCCCGGTATGTTCGTAGCCCGGAGCATCGCCGCTGATCACAAGGATCTCATCCACGATGTCTCGTTTGATTTCCATGGGAGACGAATGGCGACTTGCTCCAGTGATCAGAGCGTGAAAGTGAGTGTGGCAGGAGGAGCACATGGGGCTGTGTGTGGAGTCATTCTCCGCCGGGTACTCCAGGCATTGTAGTCAAGGCATGTTGTGGCAGCATGTAGTGTGCACGTGATCGGAGCCTATGACCAGTCACTGAGGCTGTACTCCACCCGAGTTCGTGTCCCCAGTGGTGGGACGTCTGATGTTTACAAACCGCCCAGGAGAGCACTGCAGGCCCATCTGAAGACTGATCTTCACCAGCATTAGAATAGCGAAAACATCTACTCTATTCGTAGCAATTGTCCCATTGTGGGATGTGTCCCCCCCCCCTGCAGCTTGCTGTCGTGGGAGCGTGTCCCCCCCCCTGCAGCTTGCTGTCGTGGGAGCGTGTCCCCCCCTGCAGCTTGCTGTCGTGGGAGCGTGTCCCCCCCTGCAGCTTGCTGTCGTGGGAGCGTGTCCCCCCCTGCAGCTTGCTGTCGTGGGAGCGTGTCCCCCCCCTGCAGCTTGCTGTCGTGGGAGCGTGTTCCCCCCCCCCCCCTGCAGCTTGCTGTCGTGGGAGCGTGTCCCCCCCCCTGCAGCTTGCTGTCGTGGGAGCGTGTCCCCCCCTGCAGCTTGCTGTCGTGGGAGCGTCCCCCCCTGCAGCTTGCTGTCGTGGGAGCGTGTCCCCCCCTGCAGCTTGCTGTCGTGGGAGCGTGTCCCCCCCCCCTGCAGCTTGCTGTCGTGGGAGCGTGTGTCCCCCCCCCCCCTGCAGCTTGCTGTCGTGGGAGCGTGTCCCCCCCCCCCCCCCCTGCAGCTTGCTGTCGTGGGAGCGTGTGTCCCCCCCCCCCCCTGCAGCTTGCTGTCGTGGGAGCGTCCCCCCCCCCCCTGCAGCTTGCTGTCGTGGGAGCGTGTCCCCCCCCCCCTGCAGCTTGCTGTCGTGGGAGCGTGTCCCCCCCCCCCCTGCAGCTTGCTGTCGTGGGAGCGTGTCCCCCCCCCCCTGCAGCTTGCTGTCGTGGGAGCGTGTCCCCCCCCCCCTGCAGCTTGCTGTCGTGGGAGCGTGTCCCCCCCCCCCCTGCAGCTTGCTGTCGTGGGAGCGTGTCCCCCCCCCCCCTGCAGCTTTCTGTCGTGGGAGCGTGTCCCCCCCCCCCCCCTGCAGCTTGCTGTCGTGGGAGCGTGTCCCCCCCCCCCCCTGCAGCTTGCTGTCGTGGGAGCGTGTCCCCCCCCTGCAGCTTGCTGTCGTGGGAGCGTGTCCCCCCCCTGCAGCTTGCTGTCGTGGGAGCGTGTCCCCCCCCTGCAGCTTGCTGTCGTGGGAGCGTGTCCCCCCCCCCCTGCAGCTTGCTGTCGTGGGAGCGTGTCCCCCCCCCCCCTGCAGCTTGCTGTCGTGGGAGCGTGTCCCCCCCCCCCTGCAGCTTGCTGTCGTGGGAGCGTGTCCCCCCCCCTGCAGCTTGCTGTGTCGTGGGAGCGTGTCCCCCCCCCTGCAGCTTGGTGTCGTGGGAGCGTGTCCCCCCCCCCCTGCAGCTTGCTGTCGTGGGAGCGTGTGTCCCCCCCCCCCCCTGCAGCTTGCTGTCGTGGGAGCGTGTGTCCCCCCCCCCCCTGCAGCTTGCTGTCGTGGGAGCGTGTCCCCCCCCCCCCTGCAGCTTGCTGTCGTGGGAGCGTGTCCCCCCCCCCCCCTGCAGCTTGCTGTCGTGGGAGCGTGTCCCCCCCCCCCCCCCTGCAGCTTGCCGTGGGAGCCCCCCCCCCCTGCAGCTTGCTGTCGTGGGAGCGTGTCCCCCCCCCCCCCCCCCCCTGCAGCTTGCTGTCGTGGGAGCGTGTGCTTGCCGTGGGAGCCCCCCCCTGCAGCTTGCTGTCGTGGGTGGGAGCGTGTCCCCCCCTGCAGCTTGCTGTCGTGGGAGCGTGTCCCCCCCCCTGCAGCTTGCTGTCGTGGGAGCGTGTCCCCCCCCCCTGCAGCTTGCTGTCGTGGGAGCGTGTCCCCCCCCCCCTGCAGCTTGCTGTCGTGGGAGCGTGTCCCCCCCCTGCAGCTTGCTGTCGTGGGAGCGTGTGTCCCCCCCCCCCCCCCTGCAGCTTGCTGTCGTGGGAGCGTGTCCCCCCCCTGCAGCTTGCTGTCGTGGGAGCGTGTCCCCCCCCCTGCAGCTTGCTGTCGTGGGAGCGTGTCCCCCCCCCCCCTGCAGCTTGCTGTCGTGGGAGCGTGTCCCCCCCCCCCCCCCCCTGCAGCTTGCTGTCGTGGGAGCGTGTGTCCCCCCCCCCCCCCCCCCCCCTGCAGCTTGCTGTCGTGGGAGCGTGTCCCCCCCCCCTGCAGCTTGCTGTCGTGGGAGCGTGTCCCCCCCCCTGCAGCTTGCTGTCGTGGGAGCGTGTCCCCCCCCTGCAGCTTGCTGTCGTGGGAGCGTGTCCCCCCCCCTGCAGCTTGCTGTCGTGGGAGCGTGTGTCCCCCCCCCCCCCCCCCTGCAGCTTGCTGTCGTGGGAGCGTGTCCCCCCCCTGCAGCTTGCTGTCGTGGGAGCGTGTCCCCCCCCTGCAGCTTGCTGTCGTGGGAGCGTGTCCCCCCCCTGCAGCTTGCTGTCGTGGGAGCGTGTCCCCCCCCTGGCTTGCTGTCGTGGGAGCGTGTCCCCCCCCTGCAGCTTGCTGTCGTGGGAGCGTGTCCCCCCCCCCCTGCAGCTTGCTGTCGTGGGAGCGTGTCCCCCCCCTGCAGCTTGCTGTCGTGGGAGCGTGTCCCCCCCCCCCCCCTGCAGCTTGCTGTCGTGGGAGCGTGTCCCCCCCCTGCAGCTTGCTGTCGTGGGAGCGTGTCCCCCCCCTGCCCTGTCGTGGGAGCTGTCCCCCCCCTGCAGCTTGCTGTCGTGGGAGCGTGTCCCCCCCCTGCAGCTTGCCCCCCCCTGCAGCTTGCTGTCGTGGGAGCGTGTCCCCCCCCTGCAGCTTGCTGTCGTGGGAGCGTGTCCCCCCCCTGCAGCTTGCTGTCGTGGGGGAGCCCCCCTGCAGCTTGCTGTCCCCCCCCTGCAGCTTGCTGTCGTGGGAGCGTGTCCCCCCCCCCCCCCCCCTTGCAGCTTGCTGTCGTGGGAGCGTGTCCCCCCCCTGCAGCTTGCTGTCGTGGGAGCGTGTCCCCCCCCTGCAGCTTGCTGTCGTGGGAGCGTGTCCCCCCCCTGCAGCTTGCTGTCGTGGGAGCGTGTGTCCCCCCCCTGCAGCTTGCTGTCGTGGGAGCGTGTCCCCCCCCTGCAGCTTGCTGTCGTGGGAGCGTGTCCCCCCCCCTGCAGCTTGCTGTCGTGGGAGCGTGTCCCCCCCCTGCAGCTTGCTGTCGTGGGAGCGTGTCCCCCCCCTGCAGCTTGCTGTCGTGGGAGCGTGTCCCCCCCCCCTGCAGCTTGCTGTCGTGGGAGCGTGTCCCCCCCCCCCTGCAGCTTGCTGTCGTGGGAGCGTGTCCCCCCCCCTGCAGCTTGCTGTCGTGGGAGCGTGTCCCCCCCCCCCTGCAGCTTGCTGTCGTGGGAGCGTGTCCCCCCCCCTGCAGCTTGCTGTCGTGGGAGCGTGTCCCCCCCCTGCAGCTTGCTGTCGTGGGAGCGTGTCCCCCCCCTGCAGCTTGCTGTCGTGGGAGCGTGTCCCCCCCCCCTGCGCTGTCGTGGGAGCGTGTCCCCCCCCTGCAGCTTGCTGTCGTGGGAGCGTGTCCCCCCCCTGCAGCTTGCTGTCGTGGGCTGCGTGTCCCCCCCCTGCAGCTTGCTGTCGTGGGAGCGTGTCCCCCCCCTGCAGCTTGCTGTCGTGGGAGCGTGTCCCCCCCCCCTGCAGCTTGCTGTCGTGGGAGCGTGTCCCCCCCCTGCAGCTTGCTGTCGTGGGAGCGTGTCCCCCCCCTGCAGCTTGCTGTCGTGGGAGCGTGTCCCCCCCCTGCAGCTTGCTGTCGTGGGAGCGTGTCCCCCCCCTGCAGCTTGCTGTCGTGGGAGCGTGTCCCCCCCCCCTGCAGCTTGCTGTCGTGGGAGCGTGTCCCCCCCCCTGCAGCTTGCTGTCGTGGGAGCGTGTCCCCCCCCCCTGCAGCTTGCTGTCGTGGGAGCGTGTCCCCCCCCCCCTGCAGCTTGCTGTCGTGGGAGCGTGTCCCCCCCCCTGCAGCTTGCTGTCGTGGGTGTGTCCCCCCCCTGCAGCTTGCTGTCGTGGGAGCGTGTCCCCCCCCTGCAGCTTGCTGTCGTGGGAGCGTGTCCCCCCCCTGCAGCTTGCTGTCGTGGGAGCGTGTCCCCCCCCCCCTGCAGCTTGCTGTCGTGGGAGCGTGTCCCCCCCCCCTGCAGCTTGCTGTCGTGGGAGCGTGTCCCCCCCCCCCCTGCAGCTTGCTGTCGTGGGAGCGTGTCCCCCCCCCCCTGCAGCTTGCTGTCGTGGGAGCGTGTCCCCCCCCCCTGCAGCTTGCTGTCGTGGGAGCGTGTCCCCCCCCCCAGCTGCAGCGTTGGTGTCGTGGGAGCGTGTCCCCCCCCCCTGCAGCTTGGTGTCGTGGGGAGCGTGTCCCCCCCCCCCCTGCAGCTTGGTGTCGTCCCCCCCCCCTGCAGCTTGGTGTCGTGGGAGCGTGTCCCCCCCCCCCCTGCAGCTTGGTGTCGTGGGAGCGTGTCCCCCCCCCCCTGCAGCTTGGTGTCGTGGGAGCGTGTTCCCCCCCCCCCCGCAGCTTGGTGTCGTGGGAGCGTGTCCCCCCCCCCCCGCAGCTTGGTGTCGTGGGAGCGTGTCTGTCCCCCCCCCCCCCGCAGCTTGGTGTCGTGGGAGCGTGTCCCCCCCCCCCCGCAGCTTGGTGTCGTGGGAGCGTCCCCCCCCCCCCCGCAGCTTGGTGTCGTGGGAGCGTCCCCCCCCCCCCCCGCAGCTTGGTGTCGTGGGAGCGTCCCCCCCCCCCCGCAGCTTGGTGTCGTGGGAGCCCCCCCCCCCCCCCCGCAGCTTGCTGTCGTGGGAGCGTCCCCCCCCACCCCCCCGCAGCTTGCTGTCGTGGGAGCGTCCCCCATCCCCCCCCCCCCTTCTGCAGCTTGCTGTCGCGGGGGTGTGCCATCCCCCCTGCAAATCATGGCTTGAACTATCTTGCTTTGCATGTAATGAGTCTATCTCATATATTAGTTTCACCTTTTAAGTTGCATTACTGAAATAAATGAACTTTTGCACGATCTTCTAATTTTTCGAGTTTCACGTGTAGTGTTTGGGGAATACATCATATGCACAGAGAAATGCCAAGGCGAAAGAGCATTGGTGTTTACATGTGAAAGTTCATATTGCCATTCACGTCTATGGCTGGCTGTTTGTGTCACCTGCAGCTCCCCGGGTGTTGGAAATGGTGAGAATTTTTATGTTAGACACATTTGCAGACGCTGCTGTATCTGCAAGTGTGCATGAGCCCTAAATCTTAATGCAGCGGGTTAAAGAGAATTCAAATTATTGTAAATGTTCAGTGACACTGGAACCAGGCTAGTGCTTAGGGACAAGGGGTAGGACAGGTAGTGCATCACAGAATTAGGATACTAAAAACTTTTAAAACTTGTTTACACACGTGACACTTTGTGAAGAGCGATCCACAGCGAATTTGCTTTTTACAGAGTGGAAACCTGGCTGACAGGTATTCAGAAGTTGATCCTTTTTTTTTTTTTTTTCCATTTCTGAATGGGAATACCACAAAAGCGAGCCTGGCTTTCCATTCACTTGAGCATGTCGCATTCAGCAGCAGAGCTGTACACCTAATGCAAAGGTGGTGGTGGGGATTTGGGTAAAATTTTTTGTCACACCACAATGCTAAGTGTATGTATGTGTTTGCATATATATATTATATATAATATATCTATCTATATCATCTCTTGTGTTCATAAATGCACCTGTTGTACACCTGTCAGTTTGCATTCCTAAAAAGTAAGAATCTCTGCCTTTTTTATTTAAGGTTTGGGACAAAAGTGAAAACGGGGATTGGCATTGCACTGCAAGTTGGAAGGTGAGTATGCTTAGATTTTATGGAATAACGGTTAATAAGGGAATTTTTGCAGTTTGTAAGTAATCTAAGTGAGTATGGCTTTCCTTAGGCCAAGTTCACACAGATGTGTGTCAGGTTTACATGTGTTTTAAACATGTTTTTAGCCATGGCCCCCCGTTGACTTCTATTAAGTTGTGCATTTTTTTTTTTCGTTTTTTTTTTTTTTTGAAAGCGCACAAGATGCAGCATGCAGTACTCTAGGTGCGCTTTCAGAAAATGCTGGAAAAAAAGAGTAACGTAATAGAAGATATTGGGATCTTAAATGCATATATACCTCGTATACACCTGTGCTATGTCCAAAACACAATACACCCATGTGAAACTAGCATGAATGATGTGTGTTTTGCTGCATCATCCAGTGCAGTAAAAATATTTGGATTTCAGAAAACATGTTAAAGCTTGAGGGCGCAGTACACTATAGCGACAACTTAAAGTGTTATTAAACCCACAACAGTAAAATCAGTCTGTATATGCAGTAAAGCATGCTGGTTATACTCACTGTGGAACCTAAAGGTTTAGTCCTCTGCATTATGTAAAAAGGATGTTTGATCTTGGCTTTTCTGATCTTCCCCTTCTTCCAGTGTCCCCCTCTTATCTCCTGAAAAGACCTATTGTGTGGAGACACTCTGCACATGCTCAGTTTGGTGTGTATTACTAGAGAGATTTATTTTTTATTTCTTGGGAGTGCATGTGATCAGCACAGGGCCAAGCAGCACTGCCCAAACAGAGGTCAGGGGTTCAACATCCTCCTAGTGAAAAATAAAAACTCCTACAAGATTTAGCCAGTGCTCTGCTGGACACTAATAGAAATCACAAGACTGCTCTAACTGCTGATGAGAAAAGGTATTTAGCAGTTTATATTTAATAGAATAATTGCATTTCCATGTTGTGTGTACTGTGGGAGATCAGATATAGTGAATGCAGGGTCCTGGGTTTAGTAACACTTTAACTAAAGCAGAACTTCACCCAAAAGGGAAAGTTCTGTTCCTCCTCCTCCTTGCCAGTTAAGCAGTAAACAGACACGTTTAATTCATGTTTGGCCAGCATAATCCTAACTACAGTAAATGTTCTGATATTGTGATTTTGCCTCAGGATTGATCCTCTGTATGATTAACTGTTGTGTGCATTTCTCCTCAGACACACAGCGGCTCTGTATGGCGTGTCACCTGGGCTCATCCAGAGTTTGGGCAGGTTTTGGCTTCATGCTCTTTTGATAGAACAGCTGCTGTATGGGAGGAAATAGTAGGTGAATCAAATGACAAACCTCGTGGGCAGAGTCACTGGGTAAGATCTGCCAATGGCTTGAAATTCTTTAAAGCAGTTACCTTTTTTATCAAAATAAATATATATATATATATATATATATATATATATATATATATATATATATTAAAGGATAAGTTCACCTTTTGGAACATGTTTCACCCTTTAAGGGTGAACAGGCAACATGTTCCTGCTCTTGCAGCCTATCCCCTATTTGGCCGAGCCCCCCCACCCTTGATAGCGGGCTGGGGGGATGTTCTCGCTGTCACAATTTGAATGTGGCCTTGCGCAGCTCCTTCCACACAGCTGGTCATTTTTAGAGAGTTCTGTGAATGAACTACAAGTACAGCTTTTGGTTTTGACAACTTGTGGTTCTTAACCACCTCAATACAGGGCACTTTTACCCCCTTCCTGCCCAGACCAATTTTCAGCTTTCAGCGCTCTCACGCTTTTTTTTTTTTTTTTTTTTTTTTTTCTTCACATAAATAGGGATTTCTTTTGGTGGTATTTAATTAGCACTGGGTTTTTTTACTTTTTTGTGCTGTAAATTAAATTTTGAAAAAAAAAAAACCCTGAATTTTTCTTCGTCTGTTATAAAATTTTGCATATAAGTAATTTTTCTTCATTCATTTATAAATTTTGTATACTGCAACATTGCTTTGGTAAAAATATTCTCAATCGGTGTGTAATATTTGGTCTGTGTGATAGTTATGGAGTCTACAAGCAATGGTAGCAGTCATTGAAAATTGAGCACACCTGAAGCGGCTAATGAACTACCAGGGTGCCAGTGAGCGCTGTAGTGATCCATTGAGTCTTCCCGTCTATTGTGTAACGGTCTGCCTGTACAAGGTACGAGTGAACAGATACACTGTCAGTCGGCAAGAGCCTAGGAATGCACCCACAATCGGACAGGAAAAAAAAACCCAAAACAATAACTGGACATTTTTAGCAGCAAAAGATGCGCATTTATAATAAATATATACATTTTTTTCTTAAAGGTGAACTTATCCTCTTAAGTGTTTTTTTTTTTTTTTTTACGTGCTAAGCTTGACGTTGACACCGGCTTCTTCTAGTACCTCCTGTGAGTGGGTGTACAGCTTGATACATGCATGCAAATCTGATTCAACTTAGAGTGGTTTCCATTTCCATACTGGTTATAGTAACATATTTTAGTTGTTTGCCTTCCCTTGAAGATTTCTTTTTCTGCTGTCTGTTTTCAAGTTCTTTCACATTGGTTTCATAGCCTTCCTTTACCGATCCAACACTAAAACAGCACTGGCTGGAGTAACACTTTAACAGTTGACATTACAGGCCCTGACCAATGTACACATTGCTTTGTTTCCATAAATTATTTGTGTGCTGCACTCATGTGGTTACTGGACAAACAGCTGTTGGAAGAAATAAGCCCCTGCATATGTTTAACGTATGTTAAATTTTGACCATTCCATGTGATTTATTGGCAGGCAGTGGTGAACACAGAATGCTCTTCTAACTTGACAATTTTAAGTCTTGGCCTTCTTATACTGTACACTGCAAATAAGTCAAATGTAAGCTAGAGTGAGTATAGAGAAGCCCCCCCCCCCCCCCCCCCCCCCTTTAAAACCACATCTTCTTGATTTGCAGCCTGAAATGAAGACCGACAGTTTTTGTTTCACCCAACTTATTATATCCAAGTGAAAGCTATAACACCAACATGTCAGAGAAAAAAAATCCAAAAATCAAATCCGAGAGTTGGAAAAAGGATCACCCACTTGTCGTGTTTTTTTTTTTTTTTTTTTTTTGAACCACCTTTTTGCTTTAATTACAGCCTTTAGTCTGGTGGGATATGTCTCTTCTAACTTTGTACATCTAGACTGCAATATCTGCCCGCTTTTCTCTGCAGAGTTGCTTAAGTTCAGTTAAATTTGATGGTGACAATTTGTTGACTACAGTCTCTAAGTCATTCCACAGATTTGCAATCCAGTTTAACCCCGGGTTCACACCTAAGTGTTTTCTGCAGCATTTTGCAGAAATGCTGTACAGTCCACTTAACATGATTTCCTATGGGACATGTTCTTGCGTTTTTTTGGAAATGGTCAGGGACTTTTTTTTTTTTTTTAACGCAAAAAGTTGTGTTTTTGGTTCTATAGTCTTCTTCAATGGAAACGTTGCAGAAAAGCATGTATTGCGTTTTTGGTTTTTTTGGGTTTTTTTTTTTTTTTTTTTTTTTGGTTTTTGCTCCAGTGCATTCTGAATTCTTTTCGGTTTTGGCACCAGAATTTTAATTTCAGTGCACCATTAATGTCTTGTAAAATGACACCTTTTGAGTGCCAATAATGACAGTTGTCATTCCAGCAAGGAACGTTTGCATAGGTACCACTAAGTTTGGTTTTTATTTTTTTTTATCTGTCTCACTGTATTTTACAGTCTGATCTACACTGGCTTTTCACAGGAGCAATGCCACTACTGATCGACATGGGAGTTTTGACCTGCTCTTTTTCTGACCTAAGCCCGTTCACCCCTCCTTAGGACAACCTGATGGCCCCTGACTCCCCTGCCACCATATTGATACTGAACTTCGTGCGGACAACCGATCAACATAGAGCAGAGTAGGCCTGGACTCAAGCAATCCAACAGCTTTAGCCTTCCAAGTAGCTGGGATTACAGATGCATGCCACCAGGGTGGATTTGATTTAAATCAAACTGATTTAAATCACTAGTCAGTAAGGCTTGATTTAAATCCTAGTTTTCTACATAAAGACTAATTCTTGCTGGTATAACTTTAATATGCAAGTAGATGAAGATTTTTAGAATAACTTTTCATATTAGTTTTTTTACCCCCAGTTTAATAGAATAATCATTCATATTTGGACAACTTTTCTGTTGTACTTGGGAAGGAGAAAAATAATCATTACCTTAATAATAACAATTTAAATAGATTTATTCAACTGAAACAATAACATTACAGCATATGTTATTTGCTTAAACAAACATCCATGTTTAACTAATTTGGCTAAACAAAATATATATATTTTAAGAAACAGACTGTCAGCCCCTTCCTCCTCACACTTAGTTTCACTTTCTTCTTGTGCAGATCTATTCCACTCCAATCAGAAAAATATTGTTTCTATTCTATTCACTGAACTTCTTGAAACTTAGCACTGAAGGGGTTGATTCTGTATTCATAGGTTTGTAGAAGTTAGGATTAAGGTCTTTCTTAACTCTGTTCATGTTATAACATTTTTGCTGTGAAGAAGAGGCATGTGATCTCCGCTGAGTCAAATTCAGTTTTGAGAACTGCAAAAGTAAACCAAGCATCTGTGATAATATCTTGTAGGCAGAGAAACTGCCCAATAATCTTACAAAAACCTCTGGAAGAGCATGACATTGTGAATGGATTAATGGAATTTATTTACCAAAAAAATTAAACATATACAGCCTTATTCTACATAATTAAAAAACTAATCTTTATTTGATGATGGAATAACCTTTGGATGGTAATAGATTTTCCTCAAAAAGCATTTTATTTAAAAAAAAAAAAAATCCGATTTTAAATAAAAACTGTTTTTTTTTAAATTTTTTTTAAAAAATATTGATTGTTATCCACCCTGCATGCCACTGTGCCCAACAATAACACTAGGTTTTTATTAGTCATATTAAAAGAAGTACCATACCAGCTGTCTAGTGGTAAGATGTGCTTGTGACCACTTCACGCAGCTTGTATGCGTGTCTTTGGCTTCCTTGTGTACATACGGGTGTCTTTAACACTCATCCTTTATTGTACTTTCCCAAAAGAAGTCTCTTAGTTGCATCATGCATATAAAGTTTAATTACAAACATTCCACTGCCTCCCATGCCTGTCTGTTTCCTCCTTGCTGGATGGGTGAGTGCATCCCGGCATTAATGTCTTTCACCTTAATGTTAACACTTCCTCAGGATAAAGGAAAGGGAGTGCACTACATGTTATCTTTTTTTCAGTGCTTTACATTATACTTTTGTACGATAGTGGTTTTATAGTAAAGTTCTTCTGTGAGTGTTTTCCTGTTTTCTAATTTGTAACATGGTAAGATTTTGTGCACAATTGCTATGCCAACTTGGAAGAAGCTTAAAGGAGAAATGGAATTTTTTGGGGGGTTTGCAACTTTTAAGCTGTAGTTTTTAATTTGTCTTGGTTCAATGATGACCCAAGGGAGGAAAAGCTAGAGGTTTGTTGCATTCTGTATAGGTGCATGCAGTCCCTGGGTATAGTGAAGTTTGTGTGTTTTTTACAGATGATGATCTAACTTTGGTCAGTGTGTAAAAACTGTCATATCTTTAGGTGAAAAGAACTACACTTGTGGACAGCAGAACATCTGTAACAGATGTAAAGTTTGCACCTAAACACATGGGCCTAATGTTAGCCACCTGTTCTGCCGATGGTGTAGTGAGAATATACGAAGCCCCTGATGTCATGAACCTCAGCCAGTGGTCTCTACAGCATGAAATTTCCTGCAAGCTCAGTTGCAGTTGCATCTCCTGGAATCCTTCAAGGTAACTTTCCTCATTTCTTTTTTTTTTTTTTTTGCATGGAAACATCGCTGTTGTTGAAGGGAGAAAGCAATTCTGTCCAGAACCCTTATATTGTATATTCTTGCTACAGTTCTGCAGGCACTGATATTGGCCGTTTCAGTAATTTCAGTAATTAAACATGCTAAAAAAATTACTTTAATTGGCTGATGAGAGAAGTATTGAATGGCGAGTACAGAATTTCCTTTTTCTTTCCTGGTAAGGGTGGCCATCTGTGAAATTAAACAAAAAATGATAATGTTTCAGCTTACTGGTACTTAGGTGTGTGATGGCTGCATTTGTTTTTTCTTTTATTTCACAAGCTTTCCCCTTTTAGTCAAAGTGGAGTTCCAGTCATTTTTATTTTAATAAAAAGCAGCTACAAAAACGGTAGCTGCTGGCTTTTATTAAACACACACCTGTCCCAGGATCCAGTGATGTGCTCACCTTTGCCATCCCTTCTCTCCCTGGTGCCAGCATCTCAATTGTGGGCACCCAGCTGGGACAGCTTGTGGCTTCATTGTTGGGTGCCCACTGCACTTGCCCAAGTCATGCTGCGCCTACTAAATGGAATGTGAAGTGTCCCAGAAGACTTCAGTGGGGAAGTAGGGGGCCAAATATCCATCTGTTTGCCACGGTGAACTGATCCGAGTGGGAGTGGGTACCTCCCTAAACCAGGTACCCATATTCCTCCCCCTACAAAAAAAAGTGCCAAATGTGGCAGTGGAGGGGAGAGGAGGCAGACAAGTGCAGCTTCACCCTTTTGGCTGGAGTTGTGCTTTAAACTGGTATTACTGCTATTAGCATAGTTGCTGTCCTAGAGTGCTCAGTATGGTTGTTGTCAGAGTTGTCACCCTAGGACAAGGAGTGTGTTTAGGACTACCTCTCTCTGTTCTCCAGGACAGGGGAAGGTGTTCAGTAGTCCACGGAGATGGCAGGAAACAATGCTAACAGATCAGTCCAGAGGCAGAAGGAACAGGAAGATCATCTTCCTTCTCAATGCGGGACCAAGTTACCATGTGTCTGCAAAAGCCCCACTCTCCCCACTATACTTGCCTTACCAGTGCCACTTCACTTTTATATTCCCCTCCACAGCCTGCAATGAAATAACTGGTGTCATTGTTGTTAATTGCCCAGTCAGAGACAATGACCAGGTCTAATGATTGGCTGATAAACCTGAGCTCTGACATGGGAGGGAGGTCACTTCATACCTGCAAGTGGTGTGTGTTGTGCATAGTTGTTTACTAGAAAGGAGCATAGGGGGTTGGGGGCGTGTGTCTGCATTCTGCCCTGCATAGAGAAGGTGACAGTGTCTCTTTAATCACTTGCCTGCCAGAGGATTAACCCCACTTCCTGACCAGGCCATTTTTTTGCATTATGGCACTGCGTTACCTTAACTGACAATTGCTCAGTCATGCAACGCTGCACCCAAATTAAATTTACATCCTTTTTCCCCATTATTAGAAGTTTGTTTGGGTGGTATTTGATCTTCTGTGCATTTTTTTTTTTAAATAAAAAAAAAAAATATGAAAACCGACAATTTTGAGAATTTTTTTTTTTTACTTTTGATATTAAACGTGTCCAGTAAAAATGTTTAACAAAAATCACTGACACTGTACAAATGGCACAAGACAGGAAGGGGTTAACATGTAGGGTGATCAAAGGGTTAACTGTGCTGTTTTACATAGTGTGCAGTGTTAGTGCTTCACTGTAAGCATACTGCTTTGTATGGCTGTGCTATGCACAGCCATGCAAAGCAGAGTGCAGGAGCTGACGGGAGAGAACTGTATTGTTTACAAACCGTTCCTCCGCCTCCTGCGTGTTCCCCTACCCGGAACTGCAAAATCATGTATATATGTGATTTTGCGAACTTCCGAGCCGCTCTGTACCAATACGTCTGCTATAGCGCAGACGGGAAGCAGTTAAGAGAAAATTGCATTTTCTGATGTGAGCACCATTTTAATTTTTTCCAGGGAAAGTTTTTAGTAGAGCTTTTATTTCATTCGATGCCTGTGATTGTGCTTTTCAGTGTAGTATACATTGCCACATAATTTCTTTCTGTAATTACTCAAGCCATCTCCTTTTAGATCCAGCATTTAGTCACACCTTCTGGGCAGAGATTGATGATGGCGTGGTGGTGGCAGCATTGCTCCAGATGATACTGTCAGCTAGTTGGAGTATGCATACTACCTCCCCCTGATCACATCATAGGCTTTAGCATTACTTTCAGCTGTTTAGCAAACTGTTTTATTTTTTAAACCCTGTTTGTACAGCTATGATGTGAATTAAACTTGTCTATTTTGTAACTCTAATTTGTATCTTTCTGTTTTTATAGTTGTCGTGCTCATTCTCCTATGATTGCAGTAGGTAGTGATGACAGCAGCCCTAATATAATGGGAAAAGTTCAAATCTATGAATACAATGAGAACACTAGGTAAGAAAAAACTGGCATTAAAATATAACCTTTATCTTATCTGCTGTTGGAGAAACTGTCTTTTTTTTTTTTTTTTTTCCCTTTCCCAAGCAGTGCAATCAGCTTTTTCTGCTTCTCTAAAAGCTTAGTGTAGTTTTTAAGCTATCTTTTAGTTTTGGATGGAGTGGAAAGGAATAAAACACCTGTCAGTTTTATTGCTGTCTGTGGCCCTGTTTGGGAGACTTGCCCTCTTTGCCCCTGTGTACCGCTATCATTGAAAGTGAAAATAAAAAAACTTAAGTTTTTTTTTGGGTTGACCTCACTTTTTCTGGTGAAACCATGGGATTCCCTCCTTTTTGTGGGAACTTTAATATTTTAGGCAATGTCCTATTTGGAACTACAAGACTATAGTGCCTATTCTCAAAGTGACATACGTTCATTTGCATAGGCTTGTTTTTTATCTCAGAATACTTGCATAAAAATGATCAGCTGGAAAAAAATGTTCCATTGCTGTAGAATTTTTATACCTTTTTTCCAGGCTTTGCCCGTCGCTATACCGCTATGATATTTGAAGCAAATACACTTCACTATTTACTAACTTCTAATTGCCCACAAACTACCTTGCATTCAATGCTGACGTGGCCAATACAATATGGGGACTGGCCCTCCCAGATGCATACAAATATTACCAAACAGCTCACTTACATAGACTAATTGATTGGTGACGGCATAGGGAACTTAAGCTCTGGCCCGGGATAGAAAAGGGGCAAACCATGGTGCTCTGTTCCCTCATCAAAGCGCACCCAACAATTGGAACCACAACTCGTGTCTGCTCTTTTTTTAACGCAACTGAAGTTGGCGCCCCTCCCTATTTTGGGCAATCTGCATTTTCCTCCTGGCCTGCAGGCTGGACTCTTCCAAACCCTCTTGACATCCAGAAGGTTCCAGGCATCTCACTTTCTAACTGGGGGAGATTGGCCTTCCCTGGGACTGACGCTCTCTATGGGTTCATTCTGGCTGGACTTTTGGAGTGCTCTACAATTGCATAACTTTTTGCAGCCTCTTCCCACCTTGATCCGTCCACTTACTCCGTTTTAGAAGAATACTGCTCTGATCAGGGACCCCTCCCTCATGCACGTTCCAAAGCTTATACTCTTCTGGTGACTCCTGAAGATCAACATCTACCATCTATGGAGAAATTGGAATCTGTCCTAAGCAAAGATGTTCACTACAGTTCAACGGACTAATATCAACACATTTGCCCTGAAATCTTTGTGTTTGAAAATCCAGGAAACCAACTTTAAAAATTCTGACTGGGTGGTATCACACACCATCTTAATTACACAAACTTTTAATGAAAACCTCTGATCGGTGCTGGCGATGTCAGGAAGCACAGGGGATGATGCTTCATATTTTTTGGGCCCGTCCCAAATTAGACCAATATTGGTCGGAGGTACTGAATATTGTCCAAAAATGTACGATCAGGTTCCCGAGAACCCGGCCTTCTTCCTCTTACATGTCTCTGGTATCCCAGTCAAAATGTATAAGAAGTCTATACTTCGCCAGCTTAATGCAGCTAAATCATGTATTCCTCTTACCTGGAAATGTGCTCAACCACCAACTAGTGGTCTCTGGCTAAAGAAGGTAGAGGAGTTGAATCTTATGTAAGTCCTGGTTCAGCATTTACCAGAGGTGTACACTAAAACGTGGACATTGTGGAATTTGTTTGTCTACTCTGAAGAAGGCAAAGCCCTTCTAGACACTAATACTGCCATCTGAGAAGTATGCTGTAGCCTCCGCTAGCATTTTTTGGCTTTTTCCTATCCCACGATATGGCCATCTCTTCCCACCCCTGCACTCCCCCCTTCCCTTTTTTTTTTTTTTTTTTCATATAATATGGGTTTTTCATTTTCTCTCTCTTAATATACTAAAAATAAAATTTGCAATATGCACCAAATATGCCATTTTGGATTACATGTGATTTCATTATGCTGGATTTACTTAGGATATGGTTATCTCTCATATCCTTGCTAATGATATGCCACGTCTCTGTAGGCGTTGGTTATTATACGGTCACGTTATTTTGCTACCATATTTATTGTTTTATGTTGATATTTACTGGTGTATTTGTTATATGTACAAATTTTTCTCCAATGCTGGGGACTGCCTTTTCGATGATTTGTAAAAAAAAAAATTAAATATGGAACATTGATTTTTGATAATTTCATTTCATGGTTCAATCTGTTATTACCTCCTCAAATGGACCCTTTTTACTGTTTTTCTCAATTGACACCTGAGGAACTCTGACACCTGTCAAAATCTAGAGATAATTGAAAGTAAAATCTTTACTTTTTTTAATGTTCCAAAAAATCAATGTTACAACCTTGTAGTGATTATTATATATACCGTGTTTTCTGGCATATAAGACGACTTTTCACACTAAAAAAATCCCCCAAAAATCGGGGGGTCGTCTTATACTCCGGGTATATGCCGGAAAACTGTCCATCCCGGGAGCTGAGGTAATATGGAGGGCACATCTTCAACATCCCCAAGTGAAAGATTGTCAATAATTAATTTATATAATCAATAAATAATTTACCCTGCTGGATGTAGCTTCTTTATTTTCTGCTGGATGTCCTATGTAGCTTCGGATTTAGAACGTCTCTGTGCTGACACTGTCCTGCACTGAACCAATCACGACAAGCCTGCTCGGATTGACAAAGGTTGAATAGACCGCCTCTCTAACTCAGTCAATCCGTGCAGGCTTTTTATGCATACGAATTACGAATACACCGCTTGCCGTGATTGGCTCAGCGCAGTTCATACAGTGTCAGCACAGGGACGTTCTGAAGCCACAGTATTATAGAGCACATCCAGCGGCTTCAAAAGGTATATACGATCTTATATTCTGTATGTAGCCGAATCTACAAGCATATCCAGTGGGCTAAAATGTAATAATGGGGACATTATGTACGGTATGTTTATACATTGTATTCTAGTAAAAAGCCTGCTCAGATTGGCCAGAGTCAGAGAGGCAGTCTATTAAAACCTTTGCCAATCCAAGCAGGCTTGTTGTGATTGGCCTTCTATTTATCAATGTGTGTTATGTTCGAAAAATGTCATTCAATAAAAATTTATTTAAAAAAAAAAAAACTGGTGTTGCCTCGGAAGTGGGGGGTAGTCTTATACAGCGAGTATAGGCCAAAACCTATGTTTTAACTGTAAAATTAGGGGGTCGTCTTATACACCCAGTCGCCTTATACGCCGGAAAATACGGTATATATTTTAGATTTCAAATAAAACTTTAATGAAAATACTGCTAATTATGCTTTTTTTTAACCACTTGAGCTCCAGAGGATTTAACCCCCTTAATGACCAGGCCTCTTTTTGCTTCTCGGCGCTGCACTTATTCAACTGATAATTGCGCGGTCATGCAATGCTGCACCCAAACGAAATTTACATCCTTTTTTTCACACAAATAGAGCTTTCTTTCGGTGTAATTTGATCACCTGTGCGCTTTTTATTTTTCACGCTATAAACAAAAAAAGGCCAAAAATTTTGTTGAAAAACAATATTTTTTACTTTCAGCAATAAAAAATATATAGTAAACTCAAAGTTGGTTATTAATTTAGGCCAAAATGTATTCTGCTACATGTTTTTGGTAAAAAAAAAAACCCAATAAGTGTATATTGATTGCTTTGCGTGGAAGTTATAGCGTCTACAATCTATGGTATAAATACTGCAATTTACGCCATTTTTCTGCTATACAGTGCTGCGCTAGTTTAACGGACAATTGCGCAGTCATGCAATACGGTACATAAATGAAATTTACATCCTTTTTTTTCCCACAAATTGAGCTTTTTTTTGGTGGTATTTAATCGCCTGTGCGGTTTTTATTTTTTGCGCTATAAAAAAAAAGGCTGACAATTTTTAGGAAAAAAAAGCAATATTTTGGACTATTTGCTATAAAACATGTCCATTAAAAAAAAAATGCAAAAATGAAATTTAGTCATAGATTTCTGCCAAAATGCATTCTGCGACATGTCTTTGCTAAAAAAAAAAATTCCAATACGTGCAAATTAATTGGTTTACGTGAAAGTTATAGCGTTTACAAATGATGGGAAAGATACTGGGATTTTTAATTTTTATTTATACTAATAATGGCGCCGATCAGCGAATTATGGCAGTGATCAGGGACTTGTGGCAGAGACCAGCGACTTATGGCGGGACTGCGGCGGACATTTTGACACTGGGGGGGAACTGACTTGGGGTCACTGACATCCCCAATGACACCAATACAGTGATCAGTGAAAAAAAAACACTGAAACTGTACTAATCTCACTGGGGAGGAAGGGGTTAACATTTTTAGGAGTTTACTGTGTAAGGGGAGTGTTTTACTAGGGGGCAGGGGGGTGTGTGTGCTGGACGGGGGGGGGGGGGGGGGGGGGGGGGGAGAGCTGATCGAGGGAGAGAAATTCTTCTCTCCCTCTTCAGCTTGTCGGGGAACTGTCACAGAGCAGGCTGTGTGTAAACAATGCAGCTCTGCTCTGTGACAGTGATGACAGCTCATCGCGGGAAAAACAGCCGATAAAAACCTGCCGTCGCCCGGCGGCTGACACCCGCGGGACAGGCAGGGCGGGCGCGCGCCTCACGCGTGCCCCCTACCTGTTTTGCGGGGTCCGTTTTTTAAAACGTCGTTTTGCCTACCAGTGCCGCCCTGCCGCCGTACATGTACAGTGGCTGGGCGGCATGCGGTTAAGTGATGCCATTATTGTGTAGAAATAATTGTCCTATGCTCATTATAATGAATTCTTAAACACTGAGGTGGAGTTTCTCAACATTGAATAACTGTTGAACAACATTTAAATATTAAGGGTGGTTGTGAGCTATAAAGAACAATTGATACTCAAAATCCGTACTACAACTTCTATGAATGGCACAGGATGTATGAATGGAGGATAGGCAGATGATTGATGGCTCTGCACCTTCCATTCTTAGATTCTGTTCCATTTTATAGAAACTGTGGTGCGGCTTCTATGAATGGAGTAGCTGGGCAGAAAGGACAGGCTTAGTCAGGCTGTCTTGATAAGCCTTAGTTTTAATAACCCCCTCTGTGATGGTGGGAAGGCATGAATGGCAGAAGATGTCCACTGCCTGAAGAGGAATCTGCACAAGGGACACACCCTACTGTGACTGTAAGTTACATCCCTTGTGCTAATTTTTCATTTTTTTTTTTTTTTTTTTTTAGCTTTCATCTCTTTAACTTTGGATGCAGTTAACTTGCATTGTGAAGGCATGTGTTGACTGTCAAATTTTTCTAGTGAAAATGCCTTTTTGTTTTACTTGAATTTAAGAAGCTTTTAAATCTTATTTCTTTGCAGAAAATATGTGAAAGCTGAAACTTTTATGACTGTCACAGATCCGGTTCATGATATTGCCTTTGCTCCAAACTTGGGAAGATCATTCCACATCCTGGCAGTTGCAAGTAAAGATGTTAGAATTTTCACCATGAAGCCTTTAAGGTGAGTTCTTGTGCTAGAATGTTCAGTTCACAAGCGTGTTGTGTTTTTTTTTTCCTAGTGTATGTTCAGGTACTGCATGTGCCAGCTGTAAAGTAGGTGTACTTTAACTTCATCTATGTGATGCTGTTTTGGTGTGTTTTCATTTTAGGCATGTTAACGTTAAACTCTATAGAACATGCATGTTTGCTGAAGATGCAGCATGTAGGACTCTTAACGCACTGCACCTAAAATGCACAAGTGTGAACAGGGCCAAGTGGCAAGGTTTGTCACTGTACTAAGGAGCTGTGATACCTGAAATGAAATGATTACTGTATCTAAAAGTACATATAAAACTGCATCCAAACATACACACAGCTGTGCAGAAAGTTGGTTATGGTAGATTTTTTAACATTAGGATTTCAATATGTATTTAAGATTTTCCAAACAGGGCAAAAAAATGCAATATTGCGGCGACACACACTATATATATAAAATGTTGGTTTGTTTTTTTTTTTTTTTTTTTTTTTTTCCCCTTACCTTATTTTCTGACTCAAGGCACCTTGCTCTAAAGGCTCATTCACTTGTGAGGTTGAGAGATGGTGAAACCATACAGTTGAGCCTCCTTTTTTACCACTACTCCCAAACTATTCCCCTTTACCTGCAGGCCAGGGTTGTACACATGTTGGGGCTGCAGTAGTAATGCACATAGCGGGCATTACTACTGTCGCCTACAACCTCAAATCAGGTGAATGGGACCAGTCGGCAACTGCTCTGCAACTGTGTGCATTGTAGTACAGTGATGTTGCATTTAGGGCTCATATACACTTGCTTTGAGTTCAACATGCTTTTTTTTGATGGTTTTGATTATGCGTTTTTTTTTTTTTTTTTATTGAAGCTTTAATGAAGCTTTGCAAATGCTGTGTGTGTGTCGTGATTTCCTATTTGGTTTAATGGGGCCCAGTAGAACCCCAGGCCAGTAGTATCCCCACCAGGGGCAGACTGACAACTCATGGGGCCCCCGGGCAATAGGGGATCAAGGGGTCCCTGTGTCTTTGCCCAAACTCAAAAAAGCCTATGAAAAAGGTACCAGGGGCATCTCGTGGGGCCCCCTACTGACCCTGGGCCCTCGGGTATTGCCCCAGTTTCCAAATGGTCAGTCCGCCCCTGATCCCCACTCAGTAGATCTCCCATCTCATTGGTAGTTTTGTTCAGTAGATCCCCAGCTTATTATTACCCTTGTTCAGTAGTTCACCTGCTCAGTAGTACTCCCAGCTCTGCTCATCCCCCACTCAGTAGTAACCCCTAGCTCTGCTAATCCTCACTCAGTTTTAACCTCCAGCTCTTCTGATTCCCCCCATGTTGCTTTCTTGGTGCTTCAATGCGTCTTCTAAACCTCCATAGAAGTCTGATAAAGCTTGCTTGCAGCACCTGCAGCTTTTGAGAGGCTTTTATTACGCTTTAGCTATGCTTTGTTTTGGATGTAGTGCAGGTTTGAGATATCCCAAGAAGCACTGGGAAACCAAAATGCAAACCTTTTCTTCCAGATTTAAAGCTAATAGAGCTTTAACCACTTCCATACAGGGCACTTTTACCCACTTCCTGCACCGGCCAATTTTCAGGTTTCAGCGCTGTCACACTTTGACAATTGCGTGGTCATACAACACTGTATCCGGACTAAAATTTCTTCACACAACTAGAGCTTTCTTTTGGTGGTAGTTAATCACCACTGGGGTTTTTATTTTTTGCTAAATAACAAAAAAGACTGAGAAGTTTGAAAAAAAGCCCCCAACTTTTTGTTCGTTTCTGTTTATAAAAGTTTGCAAATAAATAATTGTTCTTCATAAATTTAGGCCAAGATGTATTCTGCTACATTTCTTTGGTGAAAATAACCCAAATTAGTATTTATGTAGTCTGTAGGAAAGTTATAGAGTTCACAAACTGGGATATATCTGAAAATTGATCAGTCCTGAAGTACTGACAACCAATCTAATTTCTTGAGGTCCAAGGATGTCAGAACAGTACAGATGTTCCCCAAATGACCCCTTTTTGCAAAGTAGACAGTCCAACGTATTTCATAACAGGCATGGCGAGTTTTTTGACGTTTTGTAAGGGTTTTTTCTTTTTTTTTTTTTTTGTACAGAAAGGAACTGACTACTGCAGGGGGTGTGACAAAATTTGAAATTCATACAGTGGCACAATTTGATAACCACAATTCACAGGTATGGCGAGTAAGCTGGAACATAACTGGCACGGTTTTAGCATCGTCTGGTGATGATGGAACTGTTCGATTATGGAAAGGTAAGAAGACTTTTTTTGCAAAAAAAAAAAAAAGATTTGTTGGCGTACTTAGTCATGTATAGTGCAGTAATCAACAGTAGTCAGGATACATATCGAATTGGAGTGTTTTATAGCAGATTTCTGGTTAGTGTGGGTTGTAATTACATAATTGTAAAATGTTTTAGTTTGGTGTGTGAAATGTGTGGTGTTTTTAGAGCACTGTTTTTGGCATGGAGACAAAATCTCATTCATTGGTGTTGTCTTTGCTAACTTTCTGTTTTTTCAAACATTTCTTCCGTAAATTTAATGTGATATTTAACCCTCAGTTTCAGTAGCCAATTTACTTAGAGTATGAAGCTGGCTCCATGGCCGCTACCCAATGTTTCCTGTTTCAGAATGGCTCCGTTCTCTTGCAGCATCCTATGTAGCCAACCTTGCACGCAGGAACTAGAGTTGTCTCCTTACACTGTGTACCTCAATAGAAATATACAGCCCTGAGGCATAGGATGGCAAAGGCCTTACTCTGCTCTTGGCACCCTCTCCCCTTTTATTTCTTCAAGCTAACAGACCGGGTGGAGACTGTACTGTTGCTTGTTCAGTCTTTCCTATGAAGACTGAAAGATCAGGAAGCTGCACATTTTAGCAGGAGCCAGCAGTGCTGGGGTAGGAAGTTTAACAAATACTTTATTGGGGTAATGATTATTTTATTAAGCTCAATGAGTTAAACTATATATACAGTGAAGGAAATAAGTATTTGATCCCCTGCTGATTTGAATGTTTGCGCACCCACAAAGAAATGATCAGTCTAAAAATCAAATGGTAGGTGTATTGTAACACTAAGACAGAATAGCAACACAAAAAATTCTAAAGAAATGCATGTCTAACAAACATGCACTGATTTGCATGTTCATGAGGGAAATAAGTATTTGATCCCCTTCACAAAACATGACTTAGTACTTGGTGGCAAATCCCTTGTTGGCAATCACAGAGGTCAGACATTTCCTGTAGTTGGCCACCAGGTTTGCACACATCTCAGGAGGGATTTTGACCCACTCCTCTTGGCAGATCCTCTCCAAGTCATTAGGGTTTGGTGGCTGACCTTTGGCAACTTGAACTTTCAGCTCCCTCCACAGATTTTCAATCGGATTAAGGTCTGGAGACTGGCTAGGCCACTCTAGGACCTTAATGTGCTTCTTCTTGAGCCACTCCTTTGTTGCCTTGGCCATGTGTTTTGGGCTATTGTCATCCTGTAACACCCATCCACGACCCATTTTCAGTGCCCTGGCTGAGGGAAGAAGATTCTCACCCAAGATTTGATGGTACATTGCCCCGTCCATCGTCCCCTTGATGCAGTGCAGTTATCCTGTCCCCTTAGCAGAAAAACACCCCCAAAGCAGAATGTTTCCACCACGTTTGACAGTTGGGATGGTGTTCTTGGGGTCATAGGCAGCATTCTTTCTCCTCCAAACACGACGAGTTGAGTTGATGCCAAAGAGCTTGATTTTGGTCTCATCTGACCGCAACACTTTCAACCAGTCCTCCTCTGCATCATTCAGATGTTCAGTGGCAAACTTCAGACGAGCCTGGACATGTGCTTTCTTGCGGTCACTGCAGGATTTCAATCCTTGTCGGCGTAGTGTGTTACCAATTGTTTTCTTGGTGACTGTGGTCCCAGCTGCCTGGAGATCATTGACAAGATCCTTGTGTAGTTCTGGGATGATTCCTCACTGTTCTCATGTTCATTGACATTCCACGAGGTGAGATCTTGCATGGTGCACCAGACCTAGGGAGACTGACAGTTGTTTTGTGTTTCTTCCATTTGCAAATGATTGTATCAACTGTTGTCCCCTTCTCACCAAGCTGCTTGGCGATAGTTTTGTAGCCCAGTCCAGCCTTGTGTAGGTCTACAATCTTGTCCCTGACATCCTTGGACAGCTCTTTGGTCTTTGCTGTGGTGGAGAGTTTGGAATCTGATTGCTCCTGTGGACAGGTGTCTTTTATACAGGTAACAATGAGATTAGCAGCACTCCCTTTTAAGAGACTGCTTCTAATCTCAGCTTGTTACCTGTATGAAAGACACTTGGTAGCCAGAAATCCTGCTGAATGATAGGGGATCAAATACTTATTTCCCTCCATGAACATGCAAATCTGTGCATAATTTTAGACATGCATTACTTTAGAATTTTTTGTTGCTATTCTGTCTTTCAGTGGTACAATACACCTACCATTCGATTTTTAGACTGATCATTTCTTTGTGAGTGGGCAAACATTCAAAATCAGCAGGGCATCAAATACTTCTTTCCTTCACTGTATATATAATATAATGTAAGTTGCCAGGTTTTTATTTTTTTGTGGCTCATTTTTACTTTTCATTGTAAAGGAAATGTTGGCTCTGTTCTTTTCAGGCTGGGGGAGGTGACATTTAATGCTTTACATGGGTAACCTCACAACAACATTTGAAGATTGAGTACCTGATCGCTTTGCAACTGGTTTCCAATCTCATTTGCCAATCGGTGACTTTTTACGAAATTAGATTTTTCATGTTTTCCATCTCCTGGTTGTAGTTTATCTTTCAGCAGGGAATGAGTACAGTTGGAAAGTTAGTGTTACTAAACTCACAACAGTAAAATCAGTCTATATATGCAGTAAAGTATGCTAGTTATACTCACTGTGGAACTTAAGGGTTTAATCTTTTTTGCATTGTGCAAAAAGGATGTTTGATCCTGACTTCACTGATCCTCCCCTTCTTCCAGTGTCCCCCCTCTGATCTCCTGATGGAAGAGATTTGGGGACACTCTGCACCTGCTCAGTTTGGTGTGTACTTCTAAAGTTTTTTCTTTCTCTTGGGAGAGTGCATGTGATCAGCACAGGGCCAATCGGCATTGTCCAGATAGGGACGGATTATGAAATCTCATAGGGCAGTGTGAGGAGAATAAACTCCTACAAGCTTTTTACCAGTGCTCAGCTAGACACTTATGGAAGTCACAAGACTTCTCTAACTGCTGATGATAAAGGGTATTTAGCACTGTTTTACTAAAATATTTGCATTCCTTGTTCTTTGTACTGTGGGCACCTAGATATAATGAATGCATGGTCCTGGGTTTAGTAACACATTCAGCTCAGGACAAAAATAGTTGTTAGAGATGCTAAATATTTTGCAGACTGTTTTTTTTTTTTTTTTTTTTTTTTTTTTTTTTTAAGACCGAGTCTGTTAGAACACGTTTGTGTGCTTTGTTTGTTCTTTCTTTTCATTCTTCCTTCTTAATAAATTCCTCTTTTGGGTGCTCAGGTGCGTATGTGTTTTTTTGTATATGTATGTGATATACACAAATATCTAATTACTTTTTTTTTCTAAATTTGCTTCAGCCAACTACATGGACAACTGGAAATGCACTGGTGTACTAAAAGGGGATGGGAATCCTGTAAGTTCCAACCAGCAAGGATTTCTGGTTTCTTCTGTTGGATCAACCAATCAGAGTTTACCTAATTCTATCAATGGCTCATCTTCCAGCAGGTAAGTGATGTGTTCTTTGTGGACATTTGACATTACAAGTACAGTGCACGTTATGTCATATGTGGCATGGAGGTATTGTTTGTGTAACATGCATGTTACTGAAACTGTTTGATAAAGCATCTTTTAATGACCAAAAGCCCAGGAATATTTAAAATAAAACTTCAGCCAAGGTATTTGATTGTCACTGGGACAGATAGAGGGAAATACCTGTTTTGTTGACAAAGTTGAGATTTCACTTCTGTAGTGTATCTAAAACGAAGTTCTGTGAATGAACAGGTACTGTCTGCCACCTCGGCAGAGAGCTTGTAGTTGCCAATGAACTGTGAAGGAGCTGGTGAGTGCTCTGTTAACTGATTTTCCTGGACTTCAGTATTTCTGCCTGTATGGGAGGTAAGGACAGACAGCTGTACTGACAGTCTGCGGAAGACTAATATTGAACCCGCGATCTGCTGAACATTCATTTGATATTTTTTGTTATATTTAAAAATAAATAAATTAAAAAAAAAAAAAAAAATATATATATATATATATATATATACACATATACAGTCAGGTCCATAAATATTGGGACATCGACACAATTCTAACATTTTTGGCTCTATACACCACCACAATGGATTTGAAATGAAACGAACAAGATGTGCTTTAACTGCAGACTGTCAGCTTTAATTTGAGGGTATTTACATCCAAATCAGGTGAACGGTGTAGGAATTACAACAGTTTGCATATGTGCCTCCCACTTATTAAGGGACCAAAAGTAATGGGACAATTGGCTTCTCAGCTGTTCCATGGCCAGGTGTGTTATTCCCTCATTATCCCAATTACAATGGGCAGATAAAAGGTCCAGAGTTAATTTCAAGTGTGCTATTTGCATTTGGAATCTGTTGCTGTCAACTCTCAAGATGAGATCCAAAGAGCTGTCACTATCAGTGAAGCAAGCTATCATTAGGCTGAAAAAACAAAACAAACCCATCAGAGAGATAGCAAAAACATTAGGCATGGCCAAAACAACTGTTTGGAACATTCTTAAAAAGAACGAACACACCGGTGAGCTCAGCAACACCAAAAGACCCGGAAGACCACGGAAAACAACTGTGGTGGATGACTGAAGAATTCTTTCCCTGGTGAAGAAAAACACCCTTCACAACAGTTGGCCAGATCAAGAACACTCTCCAGGAGGTAGGTGTATGTGTGTCAAAGTCAACAATCAAGAGAACACTTCACCAGAGTGAATACAGAGGGTTCACCACAAGATGTAAACCATTGGTGAGCCTCAAAAACAGGAAGGCCAGATTAGAGTTTGCCAAACGACATCTAAAAAAGCCTTCACAGTTCTGCAACAACATCCTATGGACAGATGAGACCAATATCAACTTGTACCAGAGTGATGGGAAGAGTAGAGTATGGAGAAGGAAAGGAACTGCTCATGATCCTAAGCATACCACCTCATCAGTGAAGCATGGTGGTGGTAGTGTCATGGCGTGGGCATGTATGGCTGCCAATGGAACTGGTTCTCTTGAATTTATTGATGATGTGACTGCTGACAAAAGCAGCAGGATGAATTCTGAAGTGTTTCGGGCAATATTATCTGCTCATATTCAGCCAAATGCTTCACAACTCATTGGACGCTGCTTCACAGTGCAGATGGACAATGACCCAAAGCATACTGCAAAAGCAACCAACGAGTTTTTTAAGGGAAAGAAGTGGAATGTTATGCAATGGCTAAGTCAATCACCTGACCTGAATCCGATTGAGCATGCATTTCACTTGCTGAAGACAAAACTGAAGGGAAAATGCCCCAAGAACAAGCAGGAACTGAAGACAGTTGCAGGAGAGGCCTGGCAGAGCATCACCAGGGATGAAACCCAGCATCTGGTGATGTCTATGCGTTCCAGACTTCAGGCTGTAATTGACTGCAAAGGATTTGCAACCAAGTATTAAAAAGTGAAAGTTTGATTTATCATTATTATTCTGTCCCATTACTTTTGGTCCCTTAATAAGTGGGAGGCACATATGCAAACTGTTGCAATTCCTACACCGTTCACCTGATTTTTATGTAAATACACTCAAATTAAAGCTGACAGTCTGCAGTTAAAGCGCATCTTGTTCATTTCATTTCAAATCCATTGTGGTGGTGTATAGAGCCAAAAATGTTAGAATTGTGTCGATGTCCCAATATTTATGGACCTGACTGTATATAAGTGAGTCCCAAGGAATAGCTGATGAAGGCCAGGAAACAATGGAAAGAGTGCGCACTCACCGGACGCGCATGGAAAATGCGCATAAAAATGAATATCCCCTGGAATCCTTATAGGAGATGAAGAGAGTAAGCTCCAAATCTGTGGATCAATCAGCCTGGGAAGGTATAAGAGAGGTACGGAGGTCCCCTTAAGGATGGTATGGTAATCAGCCAGGATCCAAAGCTCCGTCCCTCCGGGCTATCTCGTGGCTCCGGGCGGGAGATGACGTCATGCTCTGTCGGTTCCTCCTAAGGCCTTTCGTGCCCAAGCACATCATCAGAGGGTTGGTATCCCCTCTGATGATGTGCTTGGGCACGAAAGGCCTTAGGAGGAACCGACAGAGCATGACGTCATCTCCCGCCCGGAGCCACGAGATAGCCCGGCGGCCATTTTAACTTAGGGATTCCTGTAGTGTGCACCTACTACCATCGGAGGGACGGAGCTTTGGATCCTGGCTGATTACCATACCATCCTTAAGGGGACCTCCGTACTTCTCTTATACCTTCCCAGGCTGATTGATCCACAGATTTGGAGCTTACTCTCTTCATCTCCTATAAGGATTCCAGGGGATATTCATTTTTATGCGCATTTTCCATGCGTGTCCGGTGAGTGCGCACTCTTTCCATTGTTTCCTTGCCTTCATCAGCTATTCCTTGGGACTCGCTTATATATATCCATTTATTAACCACGGACTATTTTCTCTTGCATTTATTTTTTAGCGCTGCACTCTGTTTATATTTGCTATTTATGGGTACACTGTGATTACCTTTAGTGCTATAGCTGCTTAGTCAGGAGCGCTCACTTTATACCATTTATATTTATGACTAGAGTTATGGTTGTCATGGTAACAAGTGTCTCCATTGGATGATTTTTCACTCTATTCCTGACCTGGAGGCGACGGCAAAATTTTAGGTTTACACTCCACTTTTATTCCCGTGACATTTGTGATCAGGACCATTGGAGGGTGAATATCCGTGAAAGCAAACCGCAATAAAAACCTGATAGTGGTCCTAAATCCTCACCACTCTATCCAAATATAAGAAACAAATGTCTTTAGCTATGCTTACAGATAAGGTCTTGGTGTGGCTTCCACTCTCATCTATGCGAACACCGGAGTTGCAGCTTCCCCACATTATTGAGCAGCTTTCTAATTTAATTTTTTTTTATATATATTTTTTTTTTTTTTTCTAACAACCAAGCCACATTAGCTTTATCTTATTCACTAAATAATCAATCTCTTAGTTTAGACTTGGATCAGGGCTGGACAAAACCTGTTTTTCCATGGCAAATGAGAACTGATAAAGACTTTGTGCAGCACTTGTTTACAGGAAACGTGCTGCTACTAATAATGAGGCTACAACTTCACCAATACTGTATTAGACAGCATAATGAACTTCAGCTTTGATCTGCCTGCAGTAAGAGTAAAGCATATGCAGTAGCGGCACTTGGTCCTGCAAATGAATCTGTTAAGCTACGTTTATATATGCAGCTGTTATTGCTGCACCTCTGAAAGGCAGTCTGTGGCGGATCACTTTTCAGGGGTGTTTGACAGGAGTCGAGGAGGTGATAAGTCGTCTTCTCCTTACCACCTGTTTTAACTATATAAATACCACACTGCTGTGCTGCAATTGCATGCATTGCATTTGGTTATATAGCAACCACATTCACTTGAGCTGTACTGTCCAGCAAACGTGTTACGGGAATAGCTTTGAATGCAAAGCATTGTTGTCATGGCATATTTTGCATCCTTGCCTTTTGCAGCTTAAGGGGGGGGGGGGGGGGGGGGGGGGAGTTGGAAGAAACAGGGCTCAACCACCTGGTTTAATGTTCTCCAACTGCAAGTTTAGCCCTTGCTGGGACAGTGGTGCATTAGACAATGCATGCAGATGCTGAAACTGCAGTTAGAACCTGCTAAGCGGTCTTGTTAATGGGACAGAAAGGGGTAAAATAATCTTCCATACAGGGTCACAGGCTAGGTTTGTGGCCCTGTTTTGGCACAAACATAAGTCCTGATTCTCGCTGGGCCTGACAGCTGTTAGGTAGTGGGATGTTTACCCAGGGTGAACTACTACAGTGGTGAGCTGGTAAGAAAGCATGGATCCAGGAGTTTACTTTTGTAGGGAAGGAGGGGGATGGACTAAGGGCACTAGCACTTTGCCCTAAATGAACAAGTTACTGTGTCTCAATGTTTTTAGAACAAACTTGAAGGATATGTGGGACAGAGTTTGGCATTGGAGTTTGATATTGCTATGTTTGGGTGGCTGTGAAGGGGATAAGGGCAGGCTGCTATTGCAGAAAGGGTTCAAAACAATACTGTGTCTAAGGGTGTCTCCTGATTCATATATTGCAGGTTAGTGAAACCACATAGGATTTAATTTTATTAATAGCAGTTGATAGATAAATTTTCAGTGTATGCCAATATGGCTGAATTGCCTAACTTTGCGCAGCTTACAAGATTTTTATGTAAATTTGGTATCATTTGTCCAGGCCTGAATTACTATGTCAAAACTCCAAGAGAAGCTATCTTGTTTAGGGTATTATGGATTAACGCTCTTCATTGCAGTTTATGCTATATTAATAAGCCCCTTAATGTGTATCTGTGGCTTAGTGGTAATTGCTTCATTAAATGTATTTTGAATGCTTCTAATTCTGTTTCTATGTTTGTTTTTTTTTTTTTTTTTTTTCCAATTCTGAATAGCTACAATGCTTTTGTTATAAAATGAGCCAAGGATTATAATAAAGCTGAACTCTAATTTTCATAAAT